CACACACACACACACACACACACACACACACACACACACACACACACACACACACACACACACACGTGCATAAATTTATATATACACACTTAAAAGAGAGTAAAGAAAGCAAATATGTGTTATTTCTTTTCTTGTCATTTATCCTTCAGATATGCATGTAAGTAAATGTACTTATACTTTTCACTAATTGCACAATTTTAAATGCAATGCTCTCATCAGGCCAATGGAGGTGTGGCAGTTGACATGAGCAAAAGTATGTACATAGGTGATGCAGCAGGCAGGCCAGCTGAAGGCAAGAAGAAGAAGGATTTTTCCTCAAATGACCGTCTCTTTGCTCTCAATCTGGGGATCAGTTTCTACACTCCTGAGGAGCACTTCCTGGGTAGGACAGATACTGGAGTTTTGTTTACATTGTGAAATGCAGCCTGAAGTGATAGGTCATATACACACTCATTTGCTAATGCAAGGAATTGAATACACGTTAGCTTTCAAAGATTGTTATAGTATTGTCAGTGTTTATTTAATTCATAATCAGTATTGTTATGTATTATGTGTATGTATGTATATTTGTGTGTGTGTGTGTGTGTGTGTGTGTGTGTGTGTGTGTGTGTGTGTGTGTGTGTGTGTGTGTGTGTGTGTGTGTGTGTGTGTGTGTGTGTGTTGTGTGTGTGTGTGTGTGTGTGTGTGTGTGTGTGTGTGTGTGTGTGTGTGTGTGTGTGTATGAGAGTGTGAGAGAGAGAGAATATAGGTTGTGGAAACTTGTTTTCATTTATTTTCCAAAAATATTTCCAGGTGTCAAAACTCAGAAGTTTAACATGCCTGAATTTGACCCACGAACAATCGATGACTCAGTGAAATTGTTTGATCCACCAACCACCAAAGTTCCAAAATTCAAAACTGAGGTGAGTGGTAAGGCACTGTGCAAGGGCTGGGAAGATAAATAGTAGGGCAGGTTGGACATTCTGGGAGAATATTACAATGTAACCAATGATAAAATAAACTTTATGTTCCTGGTATGATTTAGTCTTCAAAGATGAATGCAGTGGTACACATGAAAAAAGAAAAAACAGCAACTGGACATGTTATTACTTTATATTTTTTTTATTCTCTCTTTTCAATACTGTAAATATCTAGAACAATTATTAACTTTTGACCTTGTTGAAAATTGGATTTTTATTTCAGGTAGTGATTCTAGTTGGGTTTCCTGGAGCAGGGAAAAGCTTCCTTGCAGAGAACCATTTTGCTCCCTTAGGCTATGTAGTTGCCAACCGTGACACTGTGGGTACCTGGCAAAAGTGTGTTTCAATTTTGGAGAAATCTGTGCAGGTAAGGCATTTTTATTGAGCTTAACCCATTGGCGCCGGGTGTCACGTACGTACATGCCATGGCTGTTGTGGACCAAATGCCGGGGGCATCATGCCATGCCCATTCCCGCACTACTGGCTCGTCGGACGGAGGTTGTTTTTCTCCACTAGTAGTGGCTTCATTTATATGGTAAAGATTTTAGGCAATGGCACCCAAAGTGAAGGTAAACCTTCAAAATTTAAAATATTTTCATAAATTTTAGAAAAATAAAAGCTTTTAGGTGCTATATGTCGCTCGCAAACTACCGATCGAGCCGGGCGCAAACAGGGGAAACTGCCAGTGCACGCCAACAACCTGGCGCATACGTAAACTTGACAAAATTTTTACCCATCGATGATGGGTTAAGAACTGTATCTATTTTACACTTGCATAGTTTTACATGTTTCTGATGTTAGGAACTATTTAGTATGAACCAATGCATATGTGAAGGCAAATAGTTTTTTACTATAAATGGTTGGATAACATTTTGTCAAAATCAAAAGCTGATTTGGAATATCCCTTATAAGTATTAAATTGTAAGAAAAACTAGGTGATTTGTTGTCATATAAATATGTATATCTTTTTCTTTTTCTTTCCAGGAAGGAAAGCATGTTCTGATTGACAACACTAACCCTGATGTTGAGTCTCGGAAGCGCTATATTACTGCTGCAAAGAAGATGAACATTCCAGTTCGCTGCTTCATCCTCAATGTGACAAAAGATCATTCCAGGCATAACAATAAGGTGATTAATTTGATTTTGATTCCCCCCCTATTTAGTGAACATTTAAAGTAGACAAACAATACCCTATGACAAATTAATTTTCTAAAAGGAATTTTGATTAGGATTAAACTGCCATTTAAAAGATTGGCATTGTAGGTTTAATTGTAATTAATGATTCATACTAAAAGTGACCTTAAAGATTGAATTTTGTATTTTTTCCATTACAACCAAAAACTTCATTTTCAGTTCAGAGAATTTTCGGGTGCAGATCACTCCAAAGTGAGTGACATGATTTACCATTCTTATGGGTAAGTTCCATTTCTTTAAACAGTTCTCAGAATTATGCATTGCACATATTTCATATCAAGAGATAAGTTGTGTTCTAAGTTCTTGTCTTGGTCTTATGACCTCCATTTATTAAAATTTTTACATTTGATTTTTTTCTTGCTTTATTCACGAAAGCTCCAAATATGAGGAACCATCGCTTGCTGAAGGATTTGAAGATATCGTGCGGGTAAATTTTGTTCCGAAGTTTAGGACAAAAGAGGACGAGGAGTTCTACAAGATGTTTTTATTGGAAAAATAACTACAATTATCCTGTCATTGGAGAGAGCCATTTGATTGCTCTTGAGAGGAATGAGTGTATAAACACATGGTCAGACATCTGCACTTGATTCAAACTTGTGTAAACAAACGTGGCTCACAAAATTGTCTCTGTAATTACTGTTACAGTGTGTGTGTGTGTGTGTGTGTGTGTGTAGGATAGGAAGACTGTAAACTATTCATTAAGTGAACACATTGTGCTATTCCATTATAATGCACACTGTGGAATTATAAATCTAACAAAGACCAAGTCACCTTAAATAAATATTAAAATATGTGTACTTTATGCCTCTTGAGCAATACACCCCCTTATGATACCACTTGGTGATACACTTAGTATATATATACGACTAAAAATGGTGATGGGATAAAAAAAAAAAAAAAGGTGGTTACAAAAATGGACGTATTAAAGGCGGAAAAATATGAAATCATCTTGTAATTATTCTGGCAATTTGAACTTTCTTTGTCTGAGAATCAACATCTTGTTCATACTCCCTATGTCACAAGAAGGTGAAAGGAATGATTAACATTTTGGAGAAAAAAACTGGCATTCGTACTTTTTACACAACAAATCTGGCCTGTGATAATTCTGATTAGAATATAGTAAGTGAAAAGAAAACAAATGCTACTTGAAATAGGTAATATCATGTACATTCCACTAAAAAAATAAACTGACTTTTATGAATCATCAAAAACTTATTTTACCTTTTGTAATGCTAACACATTAATATATAAATGCAACAGCTTAAAATCTCATTTATTCTTTTTTCCTTATGCATTGTATTGTATTTTCTACAATAAGTTTAATATGACTTTTACCATATTTAAAATATTTTTTTAAATGCATAAATTAAATAACTTATTTAAATATAATCAGTTATGATTCATACAACAATGTGAATGAACTAAATCCTTTTAATAATACAAGGGGGTGTAAATGTCTGGTGGGAATACCATTCTCCCATGATTTGCTTATGATTCACAGGTAGGCCATTTGTACTTAAGTGAAAGAGAAGAAAACAGAAAACAAAAAACAAAAAAAGCATTACAATGACTAAAATCACTAGAATTATGGTGAAAGAAAGAGGATGTCATGTGAATAAAAAAAAAGTGCAAAGTTGGCCAAAAGCAAAAACAAAAACATAAAAGGTTTATTAGAAGACACTAAAATAATGACCAACATCAAAATACACACGGTAAGTGGACAAACGGCAACCTTAATATGAAATTTAAGATACTGAAAAGTGCTAGAGGAAAAATAAAGAGATAAACCAAAATCAAGAGTGCATATGATATTTAACAGCATGAAAAGGATGAACACAGGGAGCTGTCTTTACTTAGGAAGCATCAACTGGTTCTAATCACCTGGTGACTAGAGACACATCGTACCAAACCCCAGGAGAGTTCACCTGCTACATTTTATTTCATTTTTTTTATAGTTTTCCTTTTAATTTTAAAATTATTGGAATTGTTCTGTATTAAAAATAATCATTAATAACAGATGTATCTTTGTATACCCAAAAAGATTTCTATAACTAGCACAAGGACTCCCGGCTGGCAATTTTCTGTTTGTAGTAATCAGGATGTTTAACTTTGATATGAGCTTGGAGGTTCCTCTTGCGCTTTATGGTCATGTTACACACTGGGCATGGCATTCGCAGATCAGCACCATTGTGCTCTAATAAATGCTCTGCTAGAACTTCTCTTCTGGTGAAGGACCGTGTGCATAGGTGGCAGACGTATGGCCGGAAGTGGGCAAGGTGGTGACGTTTTAGGATGGCAGCTTTGGCAAAGCACTTCTGACAAATGGGGCACACATAGGGACGGCCATCAAGAGAAGCGGACTCCTGAAAAGAAAAAAGAAAAGCTCTTATAAATGTCTAAATTAAATGTGCTGTCATATCAAGAAAGGTGGAATATAACTATATCTAAACACAACTAAATTCTTTGAATAAAGTAGCCTCATACCTGTGACTCTTCAAGTGGGAGTGGTCTTGCCAGGTTGGCACTACGCGCAAATGCATCCAGATACATGCGGGTCTCCTCCTCTATGCTGTTGCTGGCCAAGGCTGCAGATAAACTATCATTCGGCAAGTTTTCTGAAAGCGTCGTGTTGCTGAAGTCCAGTGCTTCCTCTTTTATCTCTGCTTTCATCTAAACAGTAGAAAAAAAGGGTTCATAAACTTTACTTCAGGTGACTCTATAGTTTGAGAATGAAGAAGAGAGCAGGAATATCAGAGCTACCACATAAACCAAGTTGCCCTCTGCTCCTCCACCCCTTGGCATAATACTACAATCATTTATTAGAATATATACAAAGGGAAAATTATGTTATTTAGTTACAAATTCTGCATATTATATAAAGTTCCAATACTTTTTTATCATCTTTTTCCCTTTCCTTACCATTAGTAATATTAACAAATCTTATTCTCTGTATTATATTTGAAGCACTTATATTCCTAGTATGCTTTGTTTCCTATTTCCTTTTTACATATGAAGTAACTGTGGTCTTTTGACCTTGGAAAGGTAACAGAAATATCTCTTCACAACAGCTTTAGTATATTAAGAAACATGCTATTGCATTCAATTATAGTAGCAGTAACACTACTGTCACCACAAAGAACAACCCTCACCTATATGTCTCACCTCAGAAAAATTAATTTATGCCATTGACACTACTCAAACATTATCAAATCATAACAGACATAAGGTGATTGCCAATAGGGTAGGTATAGATTCAGTCACACTGACATGATCTGGAAGGGCATCTCACCTTCACAGTATAGTTTGGGAAGATTTGGAAGATGGTTTCATGACACTGTTTAACATTGGGCCACTCTTCTTTAACCCAATAAAGTAATTACCAGGCAAAAATCTGTGTATACCTTTTGTTTTTTGCAGCTGGTGCTCTATTGTTTGTTTGTTTTGTCAGGAAGCTTATCTGTATTGTTATATAATTTGCAAGCCCAACACCTAATGGGTTTATCCTTGGGAACAACCTTTGGTGGGAAGTTAGGAGCAGCGGAATGAAATACAAGAGGGTTGACTATATAAGACATTCATAAACTTATTCCCAGTTGGCACATTTTGTTCACAAGCATGCTAAGGCCTTGGCCTTATCTTTATGTAACATGTATACATGAAGCATTTTAAAGTTTGAATGGAAAATTAGTGAGAAAGAAACAAACAACTGTGGCCATCTAGCATGCACTTTTTCCCATGACTTTGAAATAACAATGAGTGTCCTAAGACCTTGCCTCATGTATTTATGGACTTCCCTAAATTAATGCAAGATGTCACCAGTGTCAGGTGCTTTACCCATTTTGTAAATTTTTGTCCATAAGTCCATAGGGATCAAGTGGATTGGTTCAAATGATCATTACATTATTTTCAAAATAATGTAACTTACAGCGCCTGCCCAAATTTTAATTTATATGTCCCATCAACAATTTATGTCGTTAGCAGCATATTCAAGATTTAGTGATAGAGTGAGTTTTGGGGGTGAAGCCCCAAGTACGGAAAGGTCATACAGCACTATGATAAAGTAATGTGGCGAAAAGGTTAACCCATTTATGACGGGTGTCCCATATATGAGACACCTGGATTGGAACATGTGCACCAATTCCGTCGTGGGCAGATTCCAGGCCAGCCCTACGTGCCAATTTTGAAGCTGCCTGGAAACTATTATTTTCGATTTCAAAATATACTGTCGCTAGTGGGTTAAAAGTGAGTTAACGATAGGGACAAAAATAATTAGGATAAAATGTTACATCTCAAAGGCTGTAGAGTGCTGTAGGTTAGTATAGTACCGAAAAGGGTAAAGAGGGAATAGTAAATGGAGTACAAAGGCCGTTCAAGACTGACACAGAGTCAGCCTTTTATCCTTTCAACAGAGCTCTCACACTTTAGCATGTGGACAAAAGCAGGGGATGAAGAAGAGAAGAATAAGGAAAGGGGGAGAAGAAAAGACCATGCAAAATAAGTTAAGGTGAAGGCTAAGGCAAAAGGTAGGGGTCATCCCCTACATTTGGCCTCAGTCTCCATATCCTAAGCCCCCCACGACAGCAATGAGCATGGGATTGGGGGGAATTTATATGTAAGTTTATCTTATAGTACATAATGGGATATGTAACTAAAATCCTTGTGGCCAACAAAAATAAAAAATTCACTACTTCATCAGCAGTAATTACCTAAGAAAATGGCATTCCTTGGACCAGCAATCCTTAGCTACCATATAAGAATGCCTCAAAAACATTTTGTGGAAGTTCAAGGTATGAGTAAAGTCCCTTATTCAAAACAGCTATTTATCCTTAAAATATATATTTGCCATCTCCGCTATTCAAGTGTTTATGTGGGGTGACCTGTCAAAAAGAAAAGAATATAATATGCAAAAATATATGTATGTCTTCCATTGAGAAACTAAAAATATCAAGATGCCATCAACACAAGCCATAGTAAAAGTGGACCCAAAAGCCAGATGGCAACAGAAGCTCTTCTTTGTTTTGCATAAGAGTTCTGTGACTTCAATGGTGTAAGTTCATGCGCAAAAGCATCTCGCAGGCAACCAAAACCCTGCTTTTATTGATACGGGAAACCAAATTAATAAGTAAATAAATTAATAAAATTGTGAAAATAAAATTTAATGATGATAATAATAGGAGAGTCAGAGACAACGGGGAAAAAACATTGTACCTGTATTATTATGACACATGGTGACACTGACATTAACTCTGGTACAGGACTAAGTATGCTCTAATTGTCTCCTAGTTTTAAAAAACGAGCACTGGAATGAATACTGATAGAATAAAAAATAATATACAGTATATACTTAATTCATAATGTCCTAGTATTACCCCAATCTTCTTTTGAGTAAAAAAAAAAAAAAAAAAAAAAAAAAAAAAAAAAAAAAAAAAAAAAAACAATCAATCAATCAATCAATAAAATAAATATATAAACAAAAGAATAATAAAACAAAAATCCTACCACAAGTATATATGATAATTATCATTGTTATTACAATAGTAATAACTATAATACACTCAATAATTACAGTAAAATAATGATATCATTAAAGAAAACAATAGCCTTGTTAAAAATAACAAGCATACTAATATCAATAACTGCATTGATCTAATGAATAATGAATATAAAAACAGGAAAAAAGAAACAAAATAAGCCTAATGTCACTCAAAATAGCAGAATGAAATTTCCCATTAGATCTGTTAAAAGAATGCTTCCATTTACCAGTTAATCTTCCAGGTACATGCATGATTAATTATGTTTATACTAGATGGCTGCACAAAAGCTTGTTACCAAGGAATAAATCATTAAGCCTACCATATCTCACTTATTTACCCAATTCCTTGAATATTTGGGAAAGAATTTTGATTTCTATTAATCTTATCATTTTCATCAACATTTTTATTAGCATTATAATTATTAATATTATCATTTTTATTATCATTATAGTCATTACTATCATTATTGTCATTATTATCATTATCATTATTATTATTACTATCACTATTATCATTATTATCATTACTATCACTTTTATCATAATTGTTATTATTATTATTATTATCATTACCATTATTATTACTAACACTATTACCCTTACCATAAGGTCATTAACAATAACATCATATACATAAATACAAATGTGTGTGATTATATATATATATATATATATATATATATATATATATATATATATATATATATATATATATATATATATATATGCATATATATTTTTTCTCCTTTTTCTCAAGGAATGTGGTAAACAGCTGAGGTCATGCAGGCCTAGTAACTAACTCTGGTGGCTATGTGAAAACATGATTAATCATCATCATCAGGAAAAGGAAATGAAGTGGACAGTGCACATACATATTCATCAACTGGTTAATCAACAATATAAGTATCAACTTCCCTCACAACAGTTTAATGCTACTAGTAACTTTCCATGCACCATTTAAAACATCACCATTAATATTTTAAACATCACCACTTGCTAGTTTAGATACTTTATCCCTACTCACCAATTTCTCAGGTGTGTCAGCATGTGCTCCATTGGGTTCATCAAGGATGTGGCCAGGTGAACTGGAGGCAAAGTCTTCTTTACTTCCCCCAAGGCTAGACAAGGAGTAGTTGAGTGCCCTTGGAGATGTTGTCTTTGCTTCTGGCCGTGGATCTTGGACTGGTTGCTGCCCTGAAGGACTGCGGCTTGGACGGAGACCCTGCCCCCTGTGTTTGGCAGCCTCTGAGCCACTGTTGAAGGCATTATGAGACTCCTTTAAGGAGTGTTCATGTGAAGAGTCAGTCACAACTGGGGTGTAAGTGGCCGGACATGATGAGGAGGGAGGGTGTGATGAACTTTGGTCCCTCTGGTCCCTTGGCTGGAAGAGGTCACTTAGCAGCCCAGGGGACAGTGGTGTTGCACTGCTCTGGAGGTTCTCTTTTGAACAACTTGACGGAATTTCTTGCAATGGTTGTTTTTCACTGCCTAAGTTAGGTATATGTTCGGGTGACTTAAGTACTGTTCTGTCATCGGTTTTTCTTCTCTTTGGAGATGACATAAAAGCATAGTGATGACTATAAAGATTTTCTAGAAATTGATCATTTTTAGCCAAAGAACTTTTGGAATTTGTTGTGTTTGCACTTTCACCACTGGAACCATTTAATAACACAAGGGGTTCTGAACGCTTCTTTTTATTCCCAGAATTTTTTTCTCTTCTGGAAGGAGTATTTTTTTCTGAATTATTCTCCTCCCCTGAAGTGAACACACCTAGCCCCTTTATCTGCAGGGCCTCAGCTGTTGACAGTAAAGTTGGCACTTCTTTCTGGGGAATATCTGTCTGACCCGTGTACATGAAATCAATCAGAGCCTGCATTTCCTTTGCAGCAACTCCACGCATGTATACTATAGGATGCTGGCAGGGAACATCTCCCAAGATTGTCCGGAAATAGTCACTGCATGTCACCAACACCAGCTTGTGTGCAGCAAACTTCTGCCCATCACAAGCTAAGGTCACATCAGTCAGGGTATTCTGAAAGGAAAGACACAATCATTAGTGGATGGTGATTAAAGATAAATGTGGGAAGGACTGAGGAAGGAAGGAAGGAAGGAAGGAAGGAAGGAAGAATACAATAGCAAAGAAAAGGACAAGAGTGAGAAATATGATGCAAGGCATAGAGGTATAATTTACTGATTATGATTAACATTCTCTCTACAATAATTATAGAACCACTAACAATAATACTGCCATATTACTAATGTATGCTATAAAGGAACTAGCACAGATTACCTCTTCTCTAAGTACACTGAGAGTTTGCCTGTAAGTTGCTCCATGGTTATTCCATGTGAGAGACAGACATTCATCCTCCATACTGGATATCCTGAAAGTAAAAAATACTATTTACATTTTCATGCTCTTGGGATAACGGTAATAAAAATCATCCACTCAAACAAAATGAAATAGAAACTACAGTATTAGTAATCATCTAACTGTTGAAGTAACCCACTGACCAAAATAACATGAAAATAGCAAAACAGTTCTCTAGACAGTCTAGCAATGTTTTCAAAACTGTATGAAAAGAAACACATATATTGAAAAACCCATATATATATCTCATCTCACATCAAGAAGTTTTTATTAGTGACATGCCAAATCACAAGGGTAATACATGTATATCTATACAATATCTATACATGTATATCTATGTAATATGCTTTTAAAAATTAAGCTATGAATCTCTTCTGATGAGCATATGATGGCCCAGTCTTACATTTTATACAAGTCCATACAATACAAGAAAGAAAGCAAGCAAATATACGTATATATATATATATATATATATATATATATATATATATATATATATAATATATCTATATATCTATATATCTATCTATCTATCTATCTATCTATATCTATCTATATCTATCTATCTATATATATATATATATATATATATATATATATATATATATATATATATATATATATGTAACATTGTATACACAAGTAATCATTCATTTTGCACATATACATTTTTGACTACCAATTAAGAAGTTCAGAGTTTCCACTGTTTTATTATTTAAGTTCAGGAATTCAACTTCTAATGATGTGAGGAAATGTCAAATGAAGACTTTAACAAGGTTTCTCATGATGACAACCCAAAATTGCTTTTTAACCAGTGCAACAATCCTAAATTCTGTATACTTAAAAAGACAAATTAATATTCTTGTTCAGGAAGAGAATCATAATCATAATTTTGATATACTAGTTTCTCTAGCTATAGAAAAAGTGTAGTTTCAGTTTAATAGTTTATGAAACTGCATCATGACCATCAGCTTCCCCAGACTTGAAATTGATTCTGATGTAGATCCTACTGAATCCTATGAAGGTATACCAGGTATTGCACAGCTCACATTCAGTCTGACATTCAGTGTACAAAAAAGGCTTCGCCTAAGAATTCTCCACATTGTCACCATGATACCAAAAGGGAAATAATTAGATCAAAGGTGTTAGGAGTATTTAATCAACAGTAACTGTGAGCACTTACATGATAAACAATATATCATGTCCTAGCCTAAAAATTGTGACACTTTTCTCTGAGTTTTCCCACAGTAAAAGGCTGAGCAAAACAAAACTTCCTCCCACGTGGTCTTGAGTGTGCAAAGTCAGCCTGATCCACATCTTAACTCATTCACAACTGGTAAAATTTAGAATAAAATTTGGTTAGCCTCGGGTGCAATAAGGGCAAATATCCATGCTTGGTTATTGCCATCTTACAGCTGAGTGCCTGAGGTATCATCCTGGCCACCAGGATCTAGGCTCGTTATGATGAGATGTCACCTGGTATCATTAACTATGATGTGATACAACATCACCTGGCATAAGTCAAAATACACCCTTGGCAACAGCAAAGGACAACAAACCTCCATTACGTATATCCTGATATCAAGATTGCAGATAATCTTAGAAATTTACCACATATAAATCAGTGCAAGGTCCATCTTGTCAAATACGTGAGGGGTAGGTTTGCTGATCTTTGTCTGAGTAAAAGGTGATCATGTGACTTTGTCTCTGAGAGATGCATTACTAGTTTAAAGAACTATCCCAATCCTTTACCATAAGTGGGCTTATCATGTTCATTTGATAACATCAATCAAAGCCAGTGTATTAGTAACACAAGAACGATAACTGCTAAGGTACACCACGGTTACATATTTCAGGCTAACACGAGTCCAAGGGACAAATTTCCTACAATCCTAATGACACAATGGACCAGGGTGGTCAGTTTATATCTAATTTTGAAAGGAAACAATTATATACACTGATCATATTGACATGTTATGATCCCACCAGCTGCCAATCAAATGGACATTCCATTTACACTAATTAGCCATTCTAACACCCTCTGGTTATTCTCTGGTATGAATACTGCTGACCAATATCTCTGTATAATATGAAATGAGAATGCTCTGAATGCAACGCAAGTCACAGCATCAAACAAGACAAAAAGCAATTGAATTGGAGCAAGGTTCGGCCACTTCTTTTTGGCCAGAAAACGCCAGAACAGAGCCCATGGATACCTACGTATGCCTGCACGAGTAAGCAGCAGCAGTTGTTGAGTATGGAGGCCCGTTCAGTTCCCGGAGAGAAGGTGGCGTGGCGTCCCCTCGTGCGGCGTCACCATCTGCACAGGTGACTGACAGATGGACTGACGCGGCCCAAACACAAACCCGCACTCCTCACACATCCGCACACGGTGGCTCCGGCTGACGCTGCTCGTTTCCTCAAGCCCAAACGCCTCTCCAGGTGG